TCTATCTTGTTGATCTTCTCAAAGAACCAACTCTTTGTTTCATTGATTCTTTGTAATGTTTTCCTAGTTTCTACTTGATTGATTTCAGCCCTCTATTTGATTATTTCCTGGCTTCTACTCCTCCGTGGTGAGTTTGGTTGTTCTGTCAATTCTCTAGTGTGACTATTCTCCAGTTTCTTCATGTGGGCACGTAGTGCTATGAACTTTCCCCTTAGCATTGCTTTCAGAGTGTCCTATAAGTTTGGGTATGTTGTGCCTACATTCTCATTAAATTCTAGGAAGTCTTTAATTTCTTTTTTTATTTCTTCCTCAACCCAGGAATGGTGCAATTGGGTGTTATTCAATTTCCATGTGTTTTTATCTTTTCTGCAATTTGTATTGCTGCTGAATTCTAATCTTAAAGCATGGTGGTCTGATAAGATACATGGTGTTATTTCAATTCTTTTGTATCTGTGGAATTTACTATGTTGCCAACTATGTGCTCAATTTTAGAGAAGGTGCCATGTGGCACTGAGAAGAAGCTTCTGTTAAACCCAGTTGGGTCTAGAGGTGAAAGTGGGGTGTTGAAGTCTCCTACTATAAGTGTGTGTGGTTTTATGTGTGGTTTGAGCTTTAGTAATGTTTCTTTTACAAATGTGGGTGTTTTTGTATTTGGGGCATAGATGTTCAGGATTGAGACTTCATCTTGATGGACTTTTCCCGTGATGGGCATTCTTCATCTCTTTTGATTGATTTTATTTTGAAATCTAATTTGTTAGATATTAGAATTGCTACACCAGCTTGTTTCTTGGGCCATTTGATTGGAAAATCTTTTCCCAGCCCCTTACTCTGAGGTAACTGTCTCTGAAGTTGAGGTGTGTTTCTTTATACAGCAGAAGGATTCTGTCTTCATATCCATTCTGTTAACCTGCATCTTTTTATAGGCAGGTTAAGAACATCATTGACATTGAGGGATATTAATGTCAATTGATTGTTGTTTCTTGTTTGTTTTGGTTTTATTGTTGGTGGTGTCATTGTTGTGTGGATTTTGCCCTCCTGTTTCTTTTATTGTTTGGTAAAATTGGATTATCTATTGACTATGTTTTTTTGAGTGTAGTTATCTTCGTTGGGTTGGAGTTTTCCTTCCAGAATTTTCTGCAGTGCTATATTTGTGGATATGTATTGTTTAATTCTGGTTTGTCATGGAATATTTTGTTTTCTCCATCTATAGTGATTTAAAGTTTTGCTGGGTACAGTAGTCTGGGTTGGCATCCATTCCCTTAGTGTTTGTAGGACATCTATCCAGGACCTTCTTGCTTTCAAAGTTTCCATTTAGAAGTTCGGAGTGATTCTGATAGGTCTGCCTTTATATGTTCCTTGGCCTTTTTCCTTTGCTGCTCTTAATAATCAAAACACCAAACACCAAAAAATAAAGAGAAAATATTATGTGTCAAGGGGACTTCTTTTTGTGGTCCCGTCTGTTCGGTGTTCTGTAAGCTTCTTGTACCTTCATAGGCATATCCTTCTTCTATGATTTTGTTGAATATGTTTTCTGTACCTTTGAGCTGTATTTCTTCACCTTCTTCTATACCTATTATTCTTAGGTTCAGCCTTTTCATGGTGTCCCATATTTCCTGGATATTTTGTGTTAGGGATTTGTTGAACTTGAGATTTTCTTTGGTCGATAACTGTATATCCTCTAGAGAGTCTTCAACAACTGAGATTCTCTCTTCCATCTCTTGAATTTTATTGGTTATACTCACATCTTTACTTCCTGATCGCTTATCCAGCCTTTCTAGTTCCAGCATTGCCTTATTCTGTGTTTTCTTTATTTGTTTCTATTTCAACTTTCATGCCTTGAACTGTTTCGAGTGCTTCCTTCTCTTGTTTGGTTGTTTTTGTCTTGGCTTTCTTTAGATTTTTTAAAGAGTTTTGTTTATTTCTTGAATTTTTTGGTTTGTCTTTTCCTCCATCTCAAGTAATTTTTTGCTTGTTTTTTCTTCTATTTCTTTAAGGTATTTTCTTGTTTCCTCTTTAAAGGTCTCTATCATCTTCCTAAGATAATTTTTGAGGTCCATGTCTTATTCATCCTCTGTGTTGGGCTTTTCAGATCTTGCTGGTGTGGAGTCCCTGGATTCTGGTGATGTCATATTGGTCTTCCTGTTTTTAAGTGTGTTCTTATTCAGTCTTCTTTCCATGTCTTCTTCCAGTGAGTGCAGGTGGGTTCTCTCTATCTCCTCTTGTCACCGGTGGTGTGTGTGGGCCAAGACTTCAATGTCTGCAACTCTGGATGTTCTTGCCTCCCCTGGTAGTCTCCTCACACGGATTTCCCGTGTTGTCGAACTGCTTGCCTTGCAGGAGTGATGTACTGGGTTTGGATATATAAACCCACATAAAAATTCAGGGTTCCAGGGGCATTTACACTAAACTGAGAAGTTGGTAGAGATGAGTGTCTTCTTGGAATTTATTGACCAGACAATCTTCCTAATAGCAAATGTCCAAGAAATGAAGGGCGCTCTTTCAAAGACAAAGGGGAAGGCAAGGTAGGATCACACACAAAGGGAATTTTGTAACCTCCCAGTGATCACTATGCATGAACACACCACACAAACACAAAGGGAAACACAAACATCTGAGAAGACATAATATCACATGGTCACCACAAACCACTGAGTAGTACTATGTGTTGCCAAAGAGACGTGATGCACTTGCCACTCAAGAAGAGATATAGGAAGCCCTGCCCCAATGCTGTAGGGGGCTTAATGCTGAGGTGACCTGAAGGGAGGAAAGCATCTCACTCACCAGGCCCTGACTTCTTCCTTCACTCTATTTCAGTGGTGGACATGCAGACGTCCCTGGGATTGATACCTTCAGGCCAGACACTCTGTCTGCTGCAGAGTTCAGACCTCTGTAATGCCTGCACCCAGGATGCACAGATAAAAACACCACCTGTGGATGGGGACAGATCTTTGACTGCCCCCATCCACAGTCCTTCTGAATTCCTGGCCTTGCCTCCAGCTCCAGCCCTGGAACAAACAGAGAATAACAACTTGGATGAGATGACAGCCAATCTATCAACATCTCTGGATTCCTATGAGGGCACAACAGAAAACCAAGACTCATCACTCTTCCCTTTAGTACACCCCAACGTACAGCAGGCCCTGCATTACACTGATGCTGAGAGAATATGGCAGAAACCAGCTTCTGACAATGCCACTTTGGGAAGTAGCAGCCTGGATCAGAAAGAGTTAGGGAGTATGCAGAGTGTGATGGGGTCTGGCATTGACTTTGCAGACATGACTACAATGGTGGCAGATATTCACCTTCCCCAAGTCTTCAACTCCCTCTCTGATGTAGATCAATTCCAGGATACCACAGCAACCCAATCCAAAGATGTCAGGAGTGATCAGACCCAGGAAAGCCCAAGTATCATCAGTGTACCCTCTGACCAAGTGAGAAAGGGCAACCAGAATGCCTCTGAGCTGCTTGATGGAGCTCCTCAGGTGAAAAATCAGTGCCAGGATGTGGTGGAGGGAGAAGGAGCTGAGGGTAGTGCTAGGGCCAGTGAAGGGGCTATTGACAACATGGCCAAGCACTTGGATGGCACAGCTCAGAAATCTGCACACAGCAGGCCCAGGATATCTAGGGCACAGGGCCAAGACAAGAACAAGAGAACCAGAGAAAACAAAACCAAGAAAAAGGGGGAGCTGAAGCCATCTTGTCCCAGAGTCAAGGCAGAAGAGAAGCCTACCATCCCAAAGACCAAGAGGACAAGGAATCCACCTGAGCTCAGCCAGGACAGTTTTAAAAAGCCTCGCACTCACCTTGGCATGCACATGCTGGAATCTGTGCAGGTCTTTCACCCACTGGGAAAGAAGAGTGAGAAGAAAATGGGCATCTCCTCCTCCCGGGCTCTGCTAAATTTAAGCAGCAACAAAGATCCCAGGACAGGCCCAGCTACCACATCACTGCTGGATGTGTCATGTGATGGCCGAGGGCCTGCCAAAACCCCAGGCAATGCTCAGAGACCAGAGAGCAGTGCTCAGAAGGAGTGTCCAACTCTGTCCCAGTATGAGCTGCCCCCACCTGGGAAGGTCAAGTTAGTACCTCTGCCTTTCCCAGCCCTGGACAAGCCTCAAGCCAGACCTCTTTCCAGAAAGCTGCTTTCCCTGGCTTCACGAAAGCCCACTGCAGCTTATGCTGTAAGGCCACATTCCCACTCGGCTCAGTCTACCACACTCAAGCCATCCCAACCAGCTCCTGCCAGCATATCTGTGACAGCCTCTGACAAGACTGCTGTGCCGACTACCACCTATGCTACACGACCTAACACAACCAATCCCATCCAGTCTTGCACTCGGGCTCAGTCATTTGTCTCTAGGCCTGCCCCCTACAGAGCATCATCTCATACTTCACTCCAGAGGGAGCTTGTTTCTGCTGCCAGGAACAAGGTCCCATCACCTCCCAAACCCCAAACCCAGTATCTGCTGCAAGACTTCAGCCGCCAACCAATTCCATGGAGGAAAGTCGACATTCCAGGGCCAACCATCTCACAGCCCATCACAGCAGAGCAGAGGCCAGAGAGGGAGGCCATGAAGAGGAGAGCTCAACAGGATCGAGAGAATGCTGCCAAGTACACCTCTCTGGGGAAACTGCAGCTTTTCCTTCAGAGGGAGAAGGATATGGAAATTTCTCGATATTATGGCTATGCAATGTAAGAGCTGGCCAGGTTTTTGAAACACAGTGCTTTTCAGTGTCAACAAGAAGAGATATAAATACTGATACACATCTTGACATGGGGTTTAAAGTCTTAAATGAATGTATTGAATTATTGGTACAAATGAAGACATATAGATGGCTATGTAAATATAGATGGATACACAAAATATTTATATTCACACATATTTGAATACTTAGTAAAACTCCAGAAAAAGTCTCAAGTCTGTTATTTTATATGTGAGTAATATAAGTGAATAATTCTCTTAACTTTGATAATTTAATTTTTACATTTTCTAAGTGCAGTATCATATCCCATATGAAATAAAGCTCACAAAATACTTAATATCAAATCAATTAATATAATGCTATAGTTGTATTCAAATTATTCTCCTTGAGTTTTTCATTCACTACATGATATGTCTTGAAGCAGACACTGAATATTGAGCACACCTCCTCCATTACCACAGTCTACCCTTTTCTCACCTCTCCCCAGAGCACTTTGTTTTCTGCTACAGAGCTTTGCCTCTAATTTCATGAAACATATACATAAAGGGTTTCATTTATGTAAATATAATCTAGGAACCACATATGAAAGAAAACATGGACAGTTTACTGAGCCTGGTTAATTTATATGATAATATCTACTTAATTTTTTCTGCAATAAACATAATTTCATTCATTTTATGAATAAATTACTTTCCATTGTTAATATATCACATTTTCTTTACACCTTTCTCTGTTGCTGACACCCATGCTATTTCCTTAATATAGCTGTTGTGGACTATTGCAATAGCTATTCTTTATGTCAACCTGACTACACGTGGAAGTAACTAAAGCCCAATTGATTGGGTACACCTGTGAGGGATTTTTCTTAATTAAAATATTAAATCATTTGAAGTAGAATTACCCACCTTTAATCCAGATCTTAAATGGGAAGATACACCTTTAATTTGAGCCACAACTTCTGGTGGCAGCCTATATATAGGACATGAAAGAAGGAAGCTCTTTGCTCTAGCTAGCATGTCCCTTCCTTCATTGGCTTTAGAGCCTACTTCTTAGGGATTCCAGAGTATACTGAAGACCAGCTGAGATATCCTGCCTCAGGGACTTAACAACTATTCTACCATTGGACTTTCTATTGGTAGATAGTCATTGTTGGACTAGGGAAACCATGGCCTGTAAGCCACTCTAATAAACCCCATTTCTACATGTGATAGATGGATAGATAGATTGACACTATCAGTTCTGTTCCTCTAGTATAAGTATGCTGCAATCAATATAGATGTGTAAATACGTCTCTAATATAATTAATTGAAATCCTTTTTGTAAATAATGAAGAGTGGTATAACTGGGTCATGTGGTAGATTCATTTTTAATTTTTTGAAGCATCTCTATTATGTTCCAAAAGAGAACATTAAATATACTATGCTATTAGCCAAAAGCAACGCTAGTATATTTAAAGACTTTCCTGGATCCTTTGTTCCCATTTTAGCAGGTGTTGGGGCCAACATGCTGGGTGCTAAGGTTAGCATGGTGCCTCCAACATATCAGTTGTGCTAAGGTTTGGGCCCTGTTACGACCCCTATATTTTATGTAATGGCTTATAGCCTCACCAGAGACATAAAGCTTTTCTTCAGTCTGTGTTTTTGACAGGGTTTGCTATTTCTTGACCTAATTAGTACCATTCTGACTGGGGTGAAATGAATCTCAATGTAGTCTTAATTTGCATTTCCCTGATGATTAGTGAGGTTCAACGTGTGTGTGTGTGTGTGTGTGTGTGTGTGTGTGTGTGTGTGTTGGCCAGGTGAATTCATCTTTTGTGAACTATCTTTTAATTCGTGAGCCTATTTATTAACTAGGTTGTCTTTTTTTTTTTTTACTTCCTTGCACTCTAGATATTAATCCTCTATCAGTTGTAGATGGCCAAAGGCTTTCTTCCATTGTGTGGACTGCCTCTTCACATTCTGTTTCTCTTGGTTGGAAAAAGTTTTTTGAGTTCATGAGGTTCCACTTGTTAATTGTTAGCATCATTTCCTGAATGACAGAGGTTCTTATCAGTCTTCGTTTGCTTCTGTATTTAAAGTGTTTGCTTTACTTTTCCCTCTAACAGTTTCAAGTATTTCATTAAACTCTCAGAGCCTTGGGCCTTGAGTTCAGTACAGTGTAAGAGATAGGAATCGTTTCATTCTTCTACAAGGGGACATTCACTTTTCCCAGCTACAACTGTTGATGATCCTTTTTGTTTCTGCAAGGGTTATGCTTGGTATTTTTGTCAAAAGTCAGTTGGCTGTAGCTGTGTGGGTTTATATCATAGTCCTCTACTAAGTCCATTAATTTATGTGCCAGTGCTATGCTGAATTTGTTACTGTCTCTCTGTAATATTACTTTCTGCCATGAATGGTGATATCGCCACCATTAATGTTTTTGTCTAATATTAATTAGGGTATCTGGGGTACTTTGTGTGTGCATATGAATGTTTAGTGTTTTGTCTACACCCAAGAAGAATGGCATTTGCATTTCAATGGAGATCATTGTTCAATTTGCAGAATGACTTGATGACATTTTCACAATATTAATTTTTGCCATCATAATTATGGCTAAGTTTTTAGCCTTCTAGTATCTGTAGTGACCATGAATGACTTTTGCCAGTTTTCAGAGCATGAAATATATTATCCCAAGCACTCCAGACTTTCCAATTTTATGTTATTCTGGTGGGTCTCCCATTATATACCACTTTGTATGTCTTTCTTGAATCATTCAATATCACATTTACTTTATATACTGAGTATTTTGAATATATGATTACATGGGGAGACCTATCATTGCATTTCTCTCTTTGATATTCAAAATAATAAATACCTCCTGTACATAAACAGGAATATCTTTCCCAAGATTTGAGACAGATTTTAATTAGTTTATTGAAAATGCCTTTAGAATAAGATTCTTGCCTTTTTCCTTTTATGGGGGTGGTTTCGAGACAGGGTTTCTCTGTGGCTTTGGAGGCTGTCCTAGAACTAGCTCTTGTAGACCTGGCTGGTCTCAATCTCACAGAGATCCGCCTGCCTCTGCTTCCTGAGTGCTGGGATTAAAGGAGTGAGCTACCACTGCCCAGCTCTTGTCTTTTTTCTATGCTCATGATTCATAGGGTTGCTGTCTTAGTTTGGTTTATATTACTGTGGCCATGATTGTATTAGCTAGTTTTATGTCAATTTGACACAAATGCCTCCACACTTATTCAAACATCCTTCCTTTTGGCATTTTTAAATGAATGTTCTAGATTCATTCATGTCTTCAAAATATTAAAAGGCAATAAAAACATTTATTCCAAGAAAAAAAGCTAAAATCCTCCATAAGATAGGGCTGTAGGTAAGCTGTAGGGCATTTTCTTAGTGATGGATAGAGGGGTGCTCAGCCCATTGTGGGTAGGACATGCCTGGGTTGGCAGTCCTGAGTTTTCCTAGAGAGAAGGCTGAGAAATCTATAAGGAGCAAGCCAGTAAGTAGTACTCCTCCATGGCCTCTGCTTCAGCTCCTGCTTCCAGGTTCCTTCCCTGACTTTCTTCAATGATGGACTATGATGTGGAAGTGTAAGAGCAAAATGAACTCTTTCCACTTTGACATGTTTTTAGTCATGGTGTTTCATCATAGCTATCATACCTCCAAGACAGAAATGGGTACCAGGATCATGGGGTATTGCTGTAACATCCATGATCATGGTGTTTTGGGGAGAATTGTGGAAGGACTTTGGAACTTTGGGCTAGAAAAGTCATTGAATGTTTAGAGCTCAGTTGGCTATTCTGTGGGAGTTTGGAAAATAAGAATGTTGAGAGCAGTATGAACAATGGAGTCCTGCTTTGTGACATTTCAGAGGGATATAAAGACTTTTCATTTGTATGAAGAATCTGTGATGTCTGTTCAGCTGGAACTGAAGAATCAGTTATGAAAAACTAGAGACCAGAACCACTAATGCTAAACCTTTGCTTTACTGGAACAATTTATACTGGTTATCTGGAGCCGAGAAATAATCATGGATTGCATCATTGAGGAGAAATCTTCAGGTAAGTATTTCCTCAGAGTCACCACACAGAAGCTGTGTTTCAGAGGGAACCAAGGTTTTACCTCATGCTGGCAGCCAAACTTGGTAGTGTAAGAGTGTCTTGGTAGATACTGGTTTTAAAGGCATGAAAGGGGTCATGGAAAAAAGTTGAGGCTTTGTACCATGAAGAGAGCCCAGGAGAAGCTATTGGTGAAAGTGCAACCCACTTGCAGCAGAAGACTCCAGCATGGGACACCAGTACCAAGGGGCCACCACCAAAAACAGAAGTAGTAGCAGCAGAGCTAGCCTGAGTTTACAAGACAAGCTATGTGTGATGCAGATGGCAGAGGTAGAAAAGTAACCCAGGCCCTTTGGGAAGACCCCAGAAGATCAGCAATGGATCATCTCAGACACTGGACATTGTGTTATTCACACAACTGCAGTTTGATTTTGTTTTGATCTGGTTGTGACTGTGCCCTATTTCTTTCCTCTGAAAGTAAAGCAATTTATTTCTTTGTGATGCAAAGATTGTTCCCTATAGTCTAGACATTCTGTTGGCCTTGTCTCAGCACATACTCACATGACTTAATGCTCTGAATTTCCCAAGAGTATATAGAGTTCATTGGGAGTCTAGAGTTGGCAAACCTTTGACTCAGTGGGGGGCTTTATTCATAGGTGACATGATTTTTATTTTTTAATTGAACTATACATTATTCCCTATTCCCTGTTCCCTTCTCCCCTTCCACCTTCCCCCTGCCCAGTGGGTTTTTTTTAAATGGTGTCTTGAGGGACTGGAGAGATGGTTCAGTGATTAAGAATGCTTGCTGCACAAATTTATTCCTGTTTATGTAAAGGCGGATCAAACACATCTGACAAAGCCAGCTGCATCCTGATTCAAAAACCAATAATAATACTAACAAATCATTTGGCCAGTCTGTGGTGGTGAACACCTTTAATCCTAGCA